TCCATAGGTACCATTATTTTTCCTTGTTGCATGATGATGATGCAGTCCATTTTTAATATGTTTGTGTGCCAGTGTGCTGGTTTCCATAATTTGAAAGAATTTTTTTCCTTTTCTTAATGCATTCAAATGAAACAAAGTTTGCATATACCAACATATGATGAGAATAGGGTTAATAGTGGATAGATCGCATGTGATATCGCCCAATTGTGGATAGACCACTTATAGTTCTATTGTTGAGATGGACCCCTGAGTGAATTTTTCTTCTCTTTTACCTTCAGTGAAAGAGAATTCTTTTTTGACAAATAGACCTCCTGAGGATAAAATAGTCAGAAAATTCACTCAGAGGGTCCATGCAACTATAGAACTACAGGGATCTATCCGCAATTGGTCGATAGTGCATGGGGTCTATCCACAAGTAATCTATTAGAATACCCACATTCTTCCATTTATATTCTCTTCGTTTTCTGTTTCTTTTTATTTTTATTTTTTTTACTTATTGATGATATTTTTCTACAGAACATCAAGTTGGTAATGTAAGGTGCGGGAAATGCCGAGTGTTGCTGATGTATCCTTACGGAGCTCCATCTGTAAGATGTTCCTCATGCCGTTTCGTGACCGAAATTAGAGTAAGATGCTCCTATCTTTATCTTGTTGTCATTCATTCACTTCAAGCACTCTCATCTATAAACATGAGCTGTCAATATTCTACCTATAAGCCACAACAGGTTGTGTGCGCATCTCACCTCTCATAGTATTGCACTCAACGAGAACCATTTGTACCTTACTATAGTACGACACTAACCCACTCTCAATGTCCTAGTCCCAGCCAACAATTCTGAACCAATAGCACACCCTTAAAGTTTTCTTTTTTGCAATATGCCACTGTTATGGCATAATGGCAGATTGAAATTAATTGAATCAGCATTTTTTCTACCATTAAACATCTTTTCTGTTAAAAAGGATAATTTGGTAACATCCATTACTTATGTAGGTGGGGCATATTGGTAATATCCAGTCCATCTGGATGAATTATGCTCTTCTTCACTCTGACCTGCACATGTGGCATGAACCTGCTGGGAAGTAATTTTATTTTTCTTAAAAGGCTTCTTTCCATAATATATGAATTGTCTGAGCTGATACCATCCTTGGAAAGTTATTGCTCCTTGAAACTTGAAGTGAATGTAGTCTCCTACCTGGTAAATGATAAATAAACAGAGAATCCTTGGTTGAGGTATGGTTTTTGCTGATGTAGGCCTGATTCTGCCCTTTTCAAGAAGTGAATTTAGAGAAGGAAAGTGGCCCCGGGTATTTTAACTTATCATTTTACAGGACAAAATAGTCTTACTAATTCAATAAGTAAACCTCCTTGTAAGTGCCAAAAAAAAAGTTGGACGATGCCCACAAAAAAAAATCCCAACTTGTGAGGAAAAAATAAATAAATAGAGATTACCAAACATGATCTTGGACGCTTACAAGTGAAAGCACACTTATTATTTAAAAATAAGTCACTTCCCAAACATACCTCTTATCTGAGTGGGTGTAGGGAGGATTGCATATTCCTTT